GCCAAGATCATGACACTACTTCCTGTTTATTACAGTCATGTGTGACAACATTATGTGGAGTACAGTATGGCATATAATGACATCAGACTTTGCAGTGCTTGGTTAATCCCCGTTAAACCTCATGAAAACACATCAAATTAGCTTTTCAATTTTTTCGCTCTTTAGAAAAAGTTGGACACAGCTACACCAGCTCCAAGCTTTAAGTTATTCCTGTAAACAAGGAGAGAATGTTGCTGACAAAATATTTTGCAGCAACCTGGTTCTACAAGTAGCCATAACGTCTACTTAACTTTGAAAAGTATTACAAGTTTTTTCCCCAGCCTCCAGGAACAACCCTTGTGAGATCTACCTAACGTTGCAATCTCTACCTGGTCCATGGAAAAAAGAATTGAAGTGTAGACTGCAAGTCTATACAGCAAGCACAGTAGGAGGTTTCAGGGTGTCCTTTGTTAGGCTCAAACTCCTTCTTTGGCTGAATCCGTCAGGGGGGGTTGCAGCTGTCCGCAATGCAAGTAACCTGCATCTGCATTTTATCATTGTGCAAAATTTAAATCAAGGCTTAGGGAATTACACATATAAAATCAGTAATACATATAAAGTCACATTTAAGTAGTAAAGTCCACATTTGTACAAAGACCTTAGAGAGGCACCTTTCAAATGCAATTATAGCTTTAAGACTTTTGGGATATGTCTTCATCAGTTTTGCACACCTAAGGCAAGGCCAGCCCTAACCAATTGGAAGCCCTAGGCAAGTTTTAGTTTGTGCCCTCCCTGCATTACAGTAAGACCAGTTTATATACTAACACACAAAAAAATTATTAAATAGGATTGTCTTCGACTTTGTTTTTTTTTTATATAATGCAGAAAAATGAAAACAGATTGAAATAACATTGTAACCAATGAAATTAGATAATAAAGTCAAAATTAAAAATAAATAATACAAAGTTGTAATTTGATGCTGCTTTACCAGGTTGTTCTGAGGTGGACTCAATAGGAGGATTTTTTGATTTTCATGAAGCTGTGAAGGCTAAAGATGGTCCTGCATTGGTGAGATTTTTAAAAAATGTATCAGCCTGCACCCGTAGAGTTCAGAACCGAGATTCGGCCCATTATCAGCATTATTCTCATTTAAAACCCGGGGACCTGTAAATAATAAAATATGACCCCACCTGTGATCACAAACTGCACCGGCAAGGCCCCGGGGGGGCCAGGACACACAGAGCAGGATTAAACAACGGATGGACATCAAGGTGAAAAAGAGCGGGGATCCAGGTGGAAAAAGTGCCCCAGCGTTCTCGCACACCTTGCTCTTCTGGCTGGTCCATCTTCAAGAGTTGTTTTCCACAATGGCGGTCATACAAACAAATTTGCTGTGGAAGTGTCTGTGGAAGGGGCAGTGGCAGTCTGCATTCACTGCGACACACACACAGATGACCTAGTTTCCGAGTGAAAACCAGTCTATACTCATGAAGGGGAGGTTTGAGATGGGCCTTGTGAAGGAAAATTTATCCAAGCTTCACTTTTTCAACAATGATTTGATAAATTCTGCTTTTAAGGCCTGGGGGAAAAACAATTGACATCAGGGATAGACTTATTATTTAAATCAAATCAGACTCTAAAATAGGTAAAACTCTCAATAAAACCTGTAGGTGAAACATTAAGACAACAGGAAGTGGAGCTTAGCTACTGAAGAGTTTTGCTATTTTTTTGGCAACATTGGGGCATTGTAAGAGTTTATTCTAGTTTATTCAGTTTACTCTAACAGTCTATTCTAATCCCTCACACCAACAGTTTATTCTACCTAGAGATTACTGGTACTGGAGTTGGTGTTGATGTGCTGACTGCTTAAAAATCTTAGCAAAACCATTGCTGGCATTTTTGATTGGATTTAATCAGCCAGAGAGATAGGAGGGTTTTTTTAACGACTGTAGCAAATAAGGCATGAGCATTGTTGATGTTTTTGTTGATAATCTCAGAGAAGAAAGATTCTCTTGCATCTTTTAGTAGTTAATTATATGTGTAAAATTTCTCCTAATGGATTTCAAAGGGAACCTTAAGTCCATTCTTTTGTCATCTTCATTCAGCTTTTTTCAGAATACACGGTAAAGTGGAATCAAAATGGTAAGCCAGGGTACAGTTATACATTTTTACTATCCATGATAACAGGCTTTCTTATAACATTTTTTTTGGTTATTAGATACATTGAAAGATGGTTTCGAAATAAATAGAAAAAGGGTCTGATATGGCAACATCAATTACAGAAACATTAGAAATATTTAGACCTTTACTTATGACCAGGTCTAAAATATGTCCTTGATTGTGTTTAACATGTCGAGTCAAACCAAATCCTTTAAGTATATCACACATTTATTTTGCACGCCCGTCTTCAGGGCTGTTAACAAGTACATTATCGTCCCCCACAATAATTAAGTTGTCATGTACAATACTATCACAGATAAAAGTTCATAGAACTCCTTAAAGAAGTTTTTTTTGGACTTCGGAGGCTCATAAACTTTCAAAGAAATGACTTGAACAGGGCCTTGTACTTGGACAGCCAGAATACAGAAGATTCAAAGTCACAGAGGATCACTTTTCTACACTTTAGTGAATCATTAAACAGAGTAATCAGTCATCATCCTTTTTTATACAGTCTGCTCTGATGGAGAACATTTTTATTTGGAGATGCGATCTCCAATCAAATTGACATCTAATTATTTTCATCTAGCCATCTACTTTTGGCCTCATCGTGCATCCTGTGTCGTGTAGTATACAGTGGGTAACGAGGGCCGATTAGGCTCTCACGACCACCTCCCTATCAGGAATCGTAAGGTTGGGTGAAAATCAGTTCAGCATGTTTGAAATTCAGTCAGCCCTCGTGAGGTGTTTATGAACAAATCCAACTTTTGAAAAAGAGCTACGAGTGTCTATGAGCTGATTTATACCTGAACCTTGCACCCTGTACATGTGCAAACAAGTCTAACCATTGCAATTCCACGCTGCTTAGTCTGACGTGTGGTTTTTGGACATTCACTGTGAGCAGTTTGATCGCATTAGAGCATCTGGCTGTATAATCACTTAACAAAAAAACCCATCTCAACATTCTAGTGCATTTTGCACCATATTTATGCATTGCACTAAATCTTTCCATTTCAATGCCTTTTGCAACATGACTTTTAAACCGGTTTCCTTTTCTCCTACACTGTTAACATTCTTTGATCACTGCTGAACTTTATAAATGGTAAAGTTCATTTTATTTAACTGTTGTAAGCTGCTTATTCAATGCTGTAAGCAGCATGCATCAAAATTTTATTTTGTATACACTCTGTGTATATAAAATTACAATAAAGTGTGTCTAAGTCTAGGTCTAGGTCTAAGCACAGCACAGTGTAAGAACACATCTTGAGCTGTGAACTTTTAAACCCTGCGGTTTTGTCGTACAGTTTGAGGTTATGTTGAATGGACAGATTCAGCTTGGTGCTGTGGAGGGCTTGTTGGGGTCCAGTTGGAGGGGAGAGGCTTCTTTTGGGATCTCACACCTATTAGTTGGGATCTTAGGAGTGTTCACTGCTCTCCAAAGCACTGACGGATGTCGACAAAATTTGTTTCATAAGTGTTACTGAAAATTGCTGATGTGTATGTTTTGAAAGGGTAAACAAACCAAATGTCAGATCTTCTTTATCTTTTTTTTTTTTCTTTTTTTTAAATCTTAAGATAAAAGTCCTAATGATATTATTTGTTCTCGCAGGTGTGGACCGGTCTACGTTTCCTGGGTGATGAATGGCTGTGGGTGAATGGGGGAAACACATCAAACATTGAGATGCCTCAATGTCCAACCCAGGAGCAGCACTGTGGTGCATTATCAAAAACCAGCACTGGCAGTGTAGAGGCCAGACACTGTTCAGAGCCTAAAAACTTCCTTTGTTACAGTTTCAAGGCTTAATGTCATCAGTGTCATCACAGCAGAATGGCTGCCTATAGATAGGCTCTCATTGCAGTCAAATGTTTGCTTCTATTAATATTTTCATCTATGAATAGAATAGTTAAATGATAATAATAATAATAGTTTAACTTGATTGATCTAATACTGTAGAAATCTAGCTCTTCATTTAACCCCATCCCCTCGGGGAGCATTGGGCTACCATTGTGCAGTGTCTTGCTCAGAGACCCAGAGTGGAGGCTGTGAGGATCGAACTATGTACTTGCAACCTTCTCAGAGCACAAGCGCACTGCTGTAACCACTAGGCCAATACTCCCCTTAATAGAGTTTAACAGAATATTTTCATTTATCTTATTTCAAAATTTATTTTGTTTCTTCAAATGAACTTTAGTAAAGATGTAGAAAACCTATGTAAGCTTGAAAGGGAACTAAACCCTCTGCATTAAATTAAGTACAACATTCATAGGTTCTAACTGTTATGGTAACCATGCTGTTTAAAACTTTACTTGATTTTGTAATTAATAGCTGCAGTTGTAAAAGTTCAGCTTTTAGCCATATAAGAATACTATTTTGACTTTACTAAAAACTGTTTGTAAAGCTTTACTGTAACTGCTTTGCTGTAATGCAGCCATTATTTTTGGATTTATAAGGTTACACATAGATCTGCACTATGTATCTGTAAACATCATTAAACTGATTAAACTAAACTCTGCTAAGAATGTGTAACTTGTATAATAACCATTCTGATTTACAAACAGAAAATATATGCTTAGTATTTGTGCCCAAACCACTTAGCATTGATCAATAAAATCATCATCTGAAATTAACCATTTATATTTTCTCAGTTTTTCCTTTCTCTAATAATAGAGTAGATTTTTTTTTATATTGATGTAATTGTGATAAAAAGTAAAGCAAATAATCTGTTTGAGAAAAAACACTGTATGGGGGAAGGTTTAACTTCCTAAAACCTTGTTTTGGAAGTTTTTGACGTCCCAATGGGAGGAGTCTAGTAAGGACACAGGTCTTCTCGATGGACTATATCCTGTCTGTCCTTGGTGACAGGGGTGTCCACCAATGGTGGGTTGCTGTTTCTGTGGGCCAAGAGATATGGGTTTCTCTCTGGTGGTCTACAGCCCCCAAAGGCCAGACAAGCCAAAGTCTATGGACGTCAAAATAAGCATTCCTATTTCTCAGGGGTCAGCTCCCAGCTAGGAATGATAATGTGCCCCACTTATATCGGTCCTTCTGTGTTCTACTGTAGGTGGAATAAGTCTGCCTGGTTTTTCAGGGAATCTAGGGAAAATTTTTTATTTTTTTTTTTGCAAACTACCAGTGGTGTCAAAAGTGCACACAATTGTTACTTAAGTAGAAGTATAGATACTGCAATTTCAAAACACTCAAGTAAAAGTTGAAGTATCAACTTGAACTCTTTACTCAAGTAAAAGTGAAAAAGTATGTGCTCCAAAACTACTTAGAGTATGAAAGCATTAAGTAACCTTAAAAAAAAACAGCCAGATGCCGTTATATGAATTGAAAGGTCAATTTTTTTACTATTTTCGAAAAATTCTTTGAGATAGGGCCAAGGATGAGGGAGGTCTTGTTAGTCTCAGTCTCCATCTCCTGATACGCTCTCGCCTGTGTCCGACCTTTCAGACATTTCAACATCTTTTTCTGAATCAGACATTGTAGCATGGCATAGACAATTCACGTTTGCAGTTTGAAGAACACCTGCTTACTTCTGATGATTTCCTTTCACTAACCAATGAGTGTTTGCGTTATAAGACTCATCCAATATGACTCATACACTAGCTTTCCCTAGATGTGGATGGTGCCAATGATCTGCACTGGATGGTGCACATGACGTTAAATAAATATTTTTAAAAATTTAACCGAAAAAAAGAAACCTCCATTAGAACCAGGCTCAGTGTGAGCGGCCATCTGCCGGGGCCGACAGGGGTTCAACGAGACAGAAGCAAAAGAAGTTATGTTGGCTGACTGCAACACATTCAGGAATGTAAGGTGAGTTGCTGTCTTCCCAGAGATGAAGTAACTCAAACTTGTCATCCGACACAATAATGTCAATCCATTTATCCTGATCTCTCTCCAGGCCAATCCAGGCATAGTATTGTTGAAAGTACAGGTCTTCCACATCTGCCTCTGAGTAGATGGTGGCCAGGTCACTGTAGTAGCTTTAGAGAGGAAGAAGACAAAATGTACTCTTATCCATTTGTACTTTCACTGATGATAAATGCAGAGGTAAAACCATGTAAATGTAACACCAAGATAAAGGAACATCATCACAGTAAACAGCGGGCTTTGATTGAAATGTAGATTAAACATGTGAGAACCTGGAACTTACTGGTTGATGATTTTCTTTATTCGGACCCCGCTGGCTTTTAATTGGTTACACCTGCTATAAGGGCTGAGCCCATACACATCCCTGTATCGGCTCCTGAGAGGGAATGCCTATTAAACGTGTGCAAGAGCATGCACAAGCCCATTTCTCCTCATTTTAATAGCAGCAATGTGAAATGGAAATTTCTTGAAATAGAATGCCAAACTTTAACTGTCAAGTAGAAACTTTGCAACCGAGGCATCAGTGGGAGGTCCGATCTGTGCTTTCAGTGTATGCCATTGCATGAAAGAATCTCCCAAAAACACTCGGGTCTTATTTATCTCTTCTGATGCCTTTTTCTTATTCATATACACTTTGTAGAAACTTTTTTCTCTTACGACCCTCTGCCATTATCAAAGAACCACAGTGAGAAAGCCGAGCTTCAATAAATTTCTGAAACCATAGCACACCGCACATAGACACCTGAAGGTGCGCATGCGCAGAAACATATCACCAGAATGACAAACATTAGGAGAACTACTTATTTTGATGACCCACATGGAAAAAGAACATCCTCCACTATAACTAAGCAGAATTGATTACTGGAACAGAGTCTTTTATAGGCTTGCCTAAAAAGTCCATCAGACAGCTGCAGGTGATTAGTTCATTAGAACTGCCTTTGACTGTTGAAGTTAAATTGTTAACTGACGTATTATGAGTTTCAGGGGTCTATTTCACGAAGCAGATTTAACAAACTCAAATCCGCAACTCTAAATTGATCTGGCCTAAGAGTCCTGTCGGGAAGAGTTGTGAAAATGCTCTCAGAGTTGGGCACGGGCGTGACAAGTATGAAAGGCCATTATCAGTGGAGCCCTGATTTGATTAGTCTCCAGGACAACAGGCAACAGGTAGTGCCTATTTCAACCCACTGGAACTAGAGATTTTAATGCAGAAATGAATAAAAAAAACAGAGTGTGTTTAAAAGACACTACAGCTGCAAAGGAGAGGAAGAGGGCGTGGTAGAAGAATGTTGCTTGAGTTAATGCGTAAGTTTATTTGTGTGAAGTGGCTGTGGCAGGCCGCTTTTGCATTTATTAAAAGCATCTTCTCTCTATTTTTCCTTTTGTAAATCACTAAAATAACTTTCAAAACGACTCCTATACTGAACTATAATAACACATTTTCTACATTACATTTTTGCAGCAGAAACTGAATTTCAGACAGCAAACAAACCAAATTATACTAGTAAGAAATAAGTTTTATATACAAAGAAATATGTACACATTTTAAGTGGCCATTATAATATTTATCAGCTTGACTGAAAAGGTATGTTTTGTATCTGGAATGCATTTCTTCATAGTTAAAATAATACCAATGTGACCAGTAACAATAGGAATATGTAGATCAGAAATTAATTCCTAGACATCCATAATGATTATTCTAGATGTTTAGACTGCCATTTTCTTTGAAATGGTCATTTTTACAAGGAAATAATGTTTGTTCAGATGTTTCTAGTAAATAGAACACATGCATCATCTCTTGGGTTTCCTTCTCAGTTTGACTCTGTCATCTATCACAGGGTAAATACTTCCCAATAAATGGCCGTTATTAGCAGTTATCAGTCCCATAGAAGGGCTTCAGATTGTGTCAGTAGGCTTAGTAGGTTGTTATGACCAATTGAATCCTAACCCTATAGTAATTCCTTTTTCCCAAGGAGAATTATTTAATCTATATATGTGTAATTTAAAAATATTTTCAGTTGTCCTTCATGTAACGGAAAAATAAATAGATAAAAATAAATGATTTAGAAAGATGGATGGACACAGAGGACAGGAGGATTGCACAGATGGAGTAATACAGTTTTGTAGTGTATATCGTGTCTTATTTAGAAATAATAAAAAATAAATTGTACTGTAGTTTTTTGCATGTCCATATAAAAATTTTACTGCTAAATTCACAGTATGTCACACGTCCTTTAATTTTCCAAGAGTGGTACTAAATGACACAAATATTGGACCTGTTGATATTAACAAATATTATAATGATTTGTAATTAAGAGAAAGAAAGTTGAATTGGAACTTAACGTCTGAAAAGCAGATAGGTAGGTTAGACAAAAACACGGAAGCTGGGGCAGTTTCCTATACATACTTTTTTTAATTAAACAAAAAAGAAAATTATGCAAACCATGACCTTAGAGGCAGATGGGAGATGAGGTGCCTGACATAAATAATGAAATAAGATTTTTGACTCTTGGTTGAGGAAATACAGGAGTATATACGGGGGATTTACATTCCTATTATTGATATTTTTTCCAGGGTATCTAGGCACTAGAATTTTTCTTCTTTTAAGATCCATTGAGGAGCAAATTAATCTCTTCATTTGACTGCATCTTCATTTTCCTCAGGATTCATATTTTCATGTATTTAAGTTGTAGGTAAATCTGTCCATTGATTGATTTGCAGTAAGTTTCCTATGGAAAACAATGACGAGATGGGCGTGATAGTTATCTTAAGTGTATCTCAAAGGCAAATCACTTCACTGACATAAAACATGCTCCCGACCAGATAACCAGATGTCCAGTTGGACTTTGTTGGCTTATCAATCAGCTGCAATATTTACAGATAAAAAAAGATAAAAGCATTGTGTGAAGACAGGTAATTTCTTGCTCTTTTTAATACATGAAATTGAAAAGAATGTTTAACTTTTGTTTTATGCTCATGTCAGTTATTTCTGTTTTTGTTCTTTTAATAGCAAAAGAAAACTGGAAGCACAAAAAGGAACTGAATTGTTTTTTAAAATAACCTAAGGCATAGTTTTTATAAAACAATCAAAATATTAGCTGTCTGAATATGAAGAGCAGCCTTTTTGGACCACTTGTTCTTCTCATTTTCATAAGCATAAAGGCATCTGCTTCTAGACATTACATTGTCTTCAACCATGGTTTGACTTGGAATGAAGCACACGATTTCTGCAAGAGGTGAGACTTTTATCCCTGTCCAATGACAATATGGATTTATTACACGTACTCTGGAATTTCTTTGTTGTAAAAACATGACAAATGTTTTTTGTTAGATAAACTAATATTCATTTGTGAGCTCCCTGTTATATAGGCACAACAGTGAGACAGACAGGGAACAATACCTAGATTAACACAAGTTAAACATTTCAAATACAAATGTAATCTTGTACCTAACCATATTAGCACATGTAGTTGTGGAAGAAAATATTAGACCAACCTTGTTTTATTAGTTTTGTAAATTGTGTTTTCCTAAGTCACATTCCTTTGGAACAAGGAATTGTAAATGCAAGGGTGGTCTGATGTGTTTTTTTTTTCTCCTATGACTGTAGCTACTTATATGGTTCCTAATAATGTATTTCTGAAACTTTTTTTGTGACTGCAAGCCTATTTCCACTTTGTGTGAAGCCAAAATATCTTTGCTGCATTCCAAGTTCATAATGAAATTGCTTAAAAAATTTTAAAAAATTACTTCTTACCTATTTTTGTATTAACCCCCTTTTTAAATCTATTATTTATTTAATTAACTAATTTCCATCCATCCATCCATCCATCCATCCATCCATCCATCCATCCATCCATCCATCCATCCATCCATCCATCCATCCATCCATCCATC